TACCATAAAACACCATTCACCAGTGGATTAAATAATATCAGTTTAAAGTGTCTCGTTACGGTTTGAATTTGTTGCTTTTGCTGGTGTTACAGCTCCCCAGTAATTGTTTTTAACATATCTGCTGCCTTAAATCAACAATCTATCTTGGTAATTTTTGCTGTTACTAGAAAGTTGATTATTAGGTTGCATAAAACAGAAAAATTACAGCTTTTTTTTTGGCATTATTGACAGTGATATCTCTTAAATTGTCATAATAATCAAAATAGTTGTCAAAAAGTTTTCTTTTTTGCTTGCTTATTTATTTTGTTTGCAACCTTCTCAACGGGGGTACAACGTGTTTTCGAACCGAAAATTCAAAGCGGCAATTCATGACAAATTTGTTGTTTGTGTTTAAGTTTGTTTGTATCTCTTTGTGCATTATTTGGATGTTTGACGCTCGAACCACTTGAAATATTTAAATCAATTTATTCAAGCTTATTTTTGGCATATACTAAGCAATTTTTCTTTGATTATTTATGTCTCATAGTTGTGTATTTAAGAAACAACCTGAACCTACATCTGATAGAGAAGAAAAAAAAGAAAGAATGATTTGATTGTAAAAAATACTGTCAATGTAGCAAACAATTGGTGAAGACAACAGTATGACAACCTCAGTGATATTTTGATAAACAAATACCTGAAGTTTTCTAAAAATAACACTTAGAAGAAAGAAAAAAAGCATTATTTCTGGTCTAAAGTACGTGTAAATAATAATGCTTGAACTAAATTTTGACAAATCGGTTTTTTTTTCAATTTTTTTTGCCAGTATTAGTGATGTTGATACTTCAACTGGAATACCAGTTGAATGATTGCTTCTTAAAATCTTAATTGCTTGCTATCGATTCGTTTTTCCTTTTATCGTTTTTATTTTTAGTGACGGTTATACGGTTCTATTGACTTCGGCTTCAATTTTGTTGATTACGGTATTTGCGAGTTTTGGTGACGTCACTAACATCTAAAATTGCTTTACCTGAAGTTTTTGCTGTCGTTGGGTGGCATTGTTGTTGCTTGCCAAATTGTAATCTGATCAGCGATAACTTTAGAATTATATACGGCTAAGGAAGAAGGAGCAACAAACATAGTGTATTTCTTAGTATTGACCATAGCGGTTACTCGTGGCTTCACATCTTTCGTTTGTTTAGCAAAATTCCGACATTGATGAATATTGCAAAAAAAAAAAAAAAAACAGAATCTGATGACATACACTAAGAGTGCAACATAAATACTGTTACACAAACTCCTGTTATTTCGTTTCTTTCTTCGTTTTCCTCTTTTTCTTTCTTGCTGAAAGATATCAATATTCTTTTTGAAACATTTATTTCTTCTTAATTTGGAAAAAGATTAAAGAAAAAGAACAACTAGTTGGTTGAGTCGTTTGAAAACAGACTTTCTCGCTGGATTCATAGTATAATTGAGTTAGGTAAAATAATTCTTCATCATGGGCTTGTCTTCTTCATCGTCTGCGAATTTTACTTAGTTTTTATTGTATAGTAATGAGAAAATGGATTGACTGTTGGAAGTGCAGTAAATTCTGTAGGAAAAAAAAAAGAGGAAAAAACAAAATGCAAGAAATTAATAAGAAAAACAAATTATTAAATCAGAAATATTCATTTGTACATTATTGATGCGGAAAAAAAGGCTACTGCTGAAATGTATCATTCTGTATCATTCAACATATTTTTAATATAATTTATAAAAAACTTTTAATTTTCAATTAATTTTTCTTTTTATTTTGGAGTTTGATACTCAGCATTTTAATTAGGCTGCATTTGGCAAACAGTTTTGTGTCACCCTTTTTCTTTTCTTTCATTGATCATTCGAGAACTTAAGGAAATCAAAAGAAAGGAGGTGGTATTCGAAAGAAGGCACAAAAATTACATTTTGACCTCACGGAGATAATTCTTAGTTGCTGCTTTGTTTTTGACCTGTTAAGCCCTATAAAAGACAAACAAAAATTGCAGAAAATTAATTTCCTTTAATAAAAAAAACCAACAGCAACGAAACAGTTAAGAATCAGCTAACTCTTAATTTTTCAAAAGTGTCATTTTCCACAACGTTTAACACTTAACGGCAACAAAAAAGCCACATCACTGGTAGCACTTGCAAACTTCTTCTGCCGTCGTCATCATTATCATCACCATTGTCATCACCAGTTGGAAGCTTTTTGTGCCCGTACTGCATCAAAGTTGTTGTCATTGTTGTCGTTGTCGTTGGTGATGGTGGTACTGGTAGTAGTGGGGTATTGGTGCGGCTGAAAGATGATGTTGAGCTAAGCTTATTGGCAGGCAAAAATACTTAAAACTGCAGAAGCAATGTTTCAAGCTTCGCACGTTACCTCTTCAAACATTTTTAGCGTTCAATTTTTTACCGAGTGTCAAAAGTTGCTTCACATAAGCCCTCTCCCTTTTCCAAAAAGCAAGGGAGAAAATGAAAAGAAAAGAAAGAGTATGAATAAAGAGAGGAAGGAATTTTGTTGAAAACCAATCAGTTTGAAATGTTCTCTTCCTGAATTTCTGAAACATACGTCATCGTCTTTTAAATAAGCAAGGAGAAATTATTTTCTGCTTTTTAGATTTTTTAGAATAGAAAGAGGTGAGAAGAGAAAGACGCGAGTTAGAAGGAGACCGAGAAGGGACATGGCTACAAGGGAAAAGAAAAGGAGGTACAGGGACAGCATAAAGAGGTTTCAGTGGTTTCATCAAATATAGGTGCAAAAAACTACAAAGCATGGTTGAATCCAAGAAGTTTTTTATCTTTTTTTTT